AAATTTTGGCTGAAAATATGTAGACGACAGACGACAGCTGAAAGGGTGAGAGTGAGAGGGTAAACATTAGAGGGAAAAGCTTGTTAGTAAAAACAGTTTCAAGGTCACTTGACAAATGTATAAGTATACGTTGATCTTTGATGGCATTGTCTGCAAGCTTCAGCACCTGAATACAACACTGGATTGGTTCAAACCGAGACTGGTTATGTATATACAGGTATTTTTGCTAAGATAACTGGACCAAACCAAAAGGGATTTTAACAAATCTATTAAATCCCATTCTCTATGCTAAATCTTCACCATGGGCGCTTGATCGTTTCGCCTATCCTCTCTACTTTGTTTTAATTAGTAAACATTAAACGATGTGTAAAAAAAGTGATAGTTTTTCATAATCATTACAAAAATCATGACTTTCCCTTTAATAAAAAAACCTTTAATAGTACCTATTAATTTTTTTTTTTTTTTTTTTCAAGTATATTAAATCATAATACTTTCACTAAATCATCAAATATAAGTACTTTTGAAATGAACGAACTATGTACAGTACTACACAAGCAATTGTATATTTTTGTAAATAACTAACATAAGGAGAGCTAACCCGTCTCAGTACGATACTGTGAAACGAGAAACTTTAAAGAGGTCCTGACATGTGTATACAGCTTACCTCTCTTTCTTTTGTACACTACAAAATGGGAAATTTTTTAGGAGTACTGGCGCGTGTAGAGCTTACCTCTCTCTCTTTCGTACAATACTACAAAATGTAAAACTTTTCGGGGGTACTGGCGCGTGGAGAGCTTACCTCTCTCTCTTTTGTACATTACTACAAAATGGAAAACTTTTCGGGGGTACTGGCGCGTGTAGAGCTAACCTCTCTCTCTTTTGTACAATACTANGTATAAGGTTATGTTTCACTTAAACTTGGAATAGAATAAAACTTCAAGTATTTTCAGCAACTTTTATTATTTGAGCGTGAAAAAAATACAAATATCAACACAAGTCAGAAACATATAACCTTATGTATTGTGGCAATAAATATTGAAAGGATTACAATAGAAAAAGGTGGCAGTATAGCACACAAATATTAGAATAAGGCTTGATCGATTAGTGGATGATAGTCATTTTATGCAGTACAATATTTAGTCAATACCTATTTTGGCAAGAGTATTGTTATTTGTTGAGTAATGTTGCACTAATAAGCCTTTTTTTTTAATGTAACTATGGTTACCAGAAAACTTTAACCAGTTACCTTTTTCAAGTCTCTCTCTTTTTGCGATTGCTGTTGGTGAGCATAAAGATAATTAAAAATTATTTCATTGTGATTAAAAATCTTTTCTACTTAACTTTACAATGAAAAACTGTTTGTGTAACGCGTTTGTACAAACATTTGACACGTTACAGAGTTGAACTTGCATTTTATGTTCAGTATCACAACCGAGGTTTTAAGTAAAAATATTTTTGTAAAGTTACAAAAAAACTAAAATATCAAAATAAAAATTTATAAACTTACTCCTTAACTCTTTAAACATAAATTATAAAGTTTTTTGGAAGGTATCTTAATAAAACTTCCATGCAGTAGTAGATACACAATGTATTTACATTTTTTTATAATCAAATTGGTACTGTGGCATAGTAGGAAGACGATATACGAAGGAGAAGTTATGTTAATCGAAGGCGTTCTGGCCGTTTCATGTTTTTTTTCTATTTGCCTGAACCATTAAAGAGCCCTTAACTTTTGGTTAAAAAAAAAAAAAAAAAAACTACATCTCTCTCCAACGTCCTCCAATATTAACATACATTTCTGAACTTCTGCATCCATCAAGAAAGACCAGTTTAATTTTTAGGCATTTCTTCGCGCTCAGTGCATACGGTACATGTACCATCTTCGTTCATTTCTGTCTCTGAATAATAATGTCCAATGGGACATTTGAACCACTGAATCATTTTGAATGTAGCTTCTTTGGCTATAACTGTTTTATCCAACAAGTATTTTGGAGCACGTAGTAGCTCAATTATCTTATTGTCAGCCTCATCTGAAAATTTACCATAAGAATATAAGATTTCTAACATAGTACTTCTCTCGTTTCCATTAGATCCATTAGATGTGTTGTAAAATGAATGTTTGCCAGCTTCAACCTACATAAGAAATAAATGTCAGTATAAAGTCTACGATGAAACTACAACAGATGTTTGTTATTTTAATTTAAAGCAGATTTCAAACTAACAAGTAAGCGTAGACGTCGAAGTTCGCTTTGAATATCTAAAAGTCGTTGAGCAGTAATATGCAATTTTGCTGGAAGCAACTTCACCAGTTCTGATACTTTATTTTTTATGTTTTTGTAGTAGTCATTCTTCATGAGAGCCGCCTTCAATGTATTCGAAATGTGGCAAAGAATTTCCGACAAGATTCTTAAGACGTCCACTTCGTAGAAACTTAGATTCTTTTTCCTTTCATTCTCCAAGATCAGCAAGTAATCTTGCAAATCATAAAAATCTAAAATTTCACCGACACCGTAATAATTTTAAATAGAAAAAAAATTTACACATGAAACAGTGTACAATACCTTTAAAATCAGGATTGGATTTCATTGTTGTTATTGAACTGAAATATTTTTTCTGATTAACCCTAACGTTTTGCTCGTCATCATTGTAAAACATAATCCTTTTAATGATGTTCAAGTCCTTTAAATCACGTTTGATGGAATTCATCAGCCTTGTACAGTTCAATATGGGATGTTGGCATTGAGGACATCGTTTTAACTGAATTTTTATATCTGCAGCAGATTCTTCGATGTGTCTCATCAGATTTTTACTTTCGATGCAGTGTCCACAATCAGGCAATACAACAAATCTATAAAATATTGTAATTTTTGCCAATCAGTCAAAGTTAAAATAAACAATTATATTTGTTCAATTCCTTACCTAACATTCAAATCGTCTACTTGATCGGGATACTGTTTTTTCAACTGATCGTAGTTACAAACTCGACAAATCGAAGGACAAGGCTCGCCACAGTATCCGACGCAAAGATGGTTGCACGGCAACGTTTTTTTACAAGGCTTAGAGCACGGCTCGATTTCGCACAGTTCGCTGCATTTTTTCTGACAACGTCTGTGCTCGCAACCCAAGTCACACAGTTCCTGCAAGTATTTATTTTGTTTTAAAAGGGCATATAAATACATATCTGATGAGTTACATTTTTTTTTTTCTCACCAGACAAGGGAAACAAGGTTCTCCACACCTGTTGTTACATTTGCTGTGACGACATTTGAGTTGGCATGGCTTCAAACAAGGATGACACTGTTTGTCGCAAGGCAATTCGCACCTGAAAGCATATATTTTTAGTAGCAAAAATTTTAAACCAATATTTTCATCATCAGCCGATGGTCTTACTTGTGTCCACAGGGTAGTGTCGTACTGCAGGGCATCTCGCAGAGCTTGTGTACACTTCCATTCTTGCAACTTCCGCAATTTCCAGGACAGTCGTGCCCGCAACATAGTACGGTGTTACATGGGTGTTCACAGTAATTCAAGGTTTCGCGCGAAGAAGACCCTAATTCAGAAAATCACGTAGCTGTACTCATTTATACATATACACTCACAATCATCTCTCTTATAGAGATGAGTAGGCGAACACAAAATAAGAGGTTTCAACTTCTAGAATTGTCGATATTCGATAACCAAACAGAAATTTATTATTTACCAATATCTTGCAAGTAACAGGGCACAGAAAAAACGTGACCGCAAAGTCCTGGTCTGGTCAATCGTACCATGAATTCGCACTGACTTGTGCATGGATCTCGGCACCTCTCAATGCAATAATGTCCGCACAGCAATCTTCTCTGACACCTCTTGTCGCAATCGGCAAATGTTACTTCTTCGTTGCACGCAACCTCTTTTTCGAAATGACCACAAAGGCTCATCTTTTTCACCTGCAAGTTACAATTGACAATCAAACCATGCAAGTATTTTTAAATGCAATTCTCATTGCGATTTCCTTACCTTTAAGTTGCATTGGTAAAATGAACAATTTTGGCCGCATTTCAACAAGCACTTGTGACCACACTTTAAGGTACGGTTGCAAATCGCGTCGCAAATTATCTTATCGACATTTTCGGAACATTGTACATTAGGAAATATGTGTCCACAAATACGCGGCTTGTTGACGATGATGGTACAAAAACCACAGTCTTCGTGGCACAGCTTTTGGCATGGGTGGCCGAAAACACAGCCTCTGTACACCCTGGCGCAATCTTTCATGCATTTGTACTGAAAAATTGGTAAAATTTTAATTTACAACCAACATTAAAGTCATAAATTACAAGCCTACCTCAATATGATTTGGATCAGATTTGGCGTGACATTTGCCGGAACAAGAATGCCCACAGGCCAGCCGAATGTCACAATCGTGCGTGCACTCGTAACTTTCAATGGGCATGTAACAGGGCTTTTTAACGGTATGGTTGCATTCCGAGAAATAGGTGTCAACCTGAAATTAAAACAAAATAAAAATCATGGCGTTGAAAAATAGTCGGAAAATTTTTTCCCATCTCTTACCTGAGTGGGGCACGGGAAAGAATCCAAATTCTCGGAGCACGGCATCTCGACCTTGTGTCCGCATTTTAACGTGCGTTCTACTTTAATTTTACATGGTTGACAGTAGTGCATGCATGTCATGGGGCACGCGTGATTGCATGGTAACGACTCGTTGCATTTTTGGGTGCACGGAATGTTTTTGTGATCTCTGTTGGTTGTGTGACAGAGTTTGGTACAAACGTGGCCACAAGAGAGCAACTCGCCGCAAACTTTCGAACAACCATCCGTACACTTTTTGACGTCGCTCGCCGTTTTGGCCTGCAAACAAAAAGTGTGAAAACATGTTGCTGAAAATAAGCTATTTGTCAAAACAACCATAATAATAATAATAATTCATACAGAAAACGATTGATTCGGATGATTCTGGCATCTAAGTTTGAGGGAGTAGCCAAAAGCTTGTTTTTCGTTCAAAATTTGCTTTGCCTTGGACAAAATTTCGCAGTTTTTGTTGAAACTCTGAAGATTGGCCATTATGAATAAACCCTCTCGAGCACGCGACAAAGCTCCAGATAATGCCTTCGTCCCTTTCAAATACTCGACCTTGCAGTCATTGTTGTTTACTAAAGACAGAAGAACGATCTTGTTTTCTTTGCCAAGGTAATCAAATACTGTGCTAACTTGCACTTCCTTAAGAGTTTCTTCACTGAGCATCTCCTAAAGTTGTGTAATAATTTTTTTATCACAATAAAATATTTGCATAAAGAAATCCATGTATGGTTTGAGGAAACTTACTGCTTGGAAAGCATTAGCCTGACGACAACAAGTGGATAGAATGGTAATATCGGATTCTTTGTAGCCCAAACGTAAAAAGTATTGGGCTAGTGCGATTAAAAATTCAATCTCGTGTCTGTTGATTCCATCTTTGGTTTGGGGGTGGTTGTGACTTAAAAAGAAAAGATTGCTCTCCACGCCTCTCAAACGAGGATAATTAAGCGCTGATGCATGATTTTGGAACACCTTGTCAGTGTACAAAGACATTACTTTAGTGATTTCAGGTCTCATGCGATGCTGATACTTCAATGTAACACAGTTTTCTTTGACATTCACCATTCGCTCGAATAATGTTGGCAACAGCCTGGGCATAGTTTTGTCTCCAATCAAAATCAAATGTTGACACTCCTTCGTCATTGAACAAACAATGTGAGTCTCCCGAACTTTTTCTGCTTCGTCTACCAGCACTAAACAAAATAAACAAGGAAACTAAAGTGTGAAATCGAAGAAACAGAAAATTTACTTTTACAATCTTGTTTGTCAAAGGAAGTTGATTTACCGATAGGAGCCTGGAGAGAATTCAAAGAGTATTTCATCATTGCAATGCAACCAGCAGTTATTCCAATGACTTTTTGTTCCTTGAATATTTCAAGATTGGCTAATCGTTTCAAATTTTCAAGCTGATACTTTTCTTGATGATATTTTTTTTCTAGCTCGAACAAACTCTTGATTAGAGTGTCATGGCAAGCCTTTATCGATTCCCAATAATCTTTTTTCGTTGCATGATCAGTTGGTAAACGCGGATCACTCAATATTGTATTGTTAAATAGTTTTTGCTGCAAATAATAATAAAATTTTTAAGGAGAGTGATGACAATTTTTAATTGTAGATTTCAACCAATTTCACTAAGAGTAGTTTTACCTGGAAAATACTACAATTTTGATTTAAACCCTCCAGATCTTTTAAAGTTATGGGGTTGATGTGCAAACCAAAATCTTTTTCGTCGCGCTTGATATAATCAATTGGCAAATCGTTATCTGTCAACATACATTTATCCTTCTCAAAGTTTTTCAACAATTGTACACAAGGATTGCCATTTTCTTCGGTTGAATTACAGTTAAAATCTTCAAATAAAGAGTTAAAACACTTTTCAGTGAGCCACTTGGAAAATTCTTGACTGGATTTATATTTGTTCAAGGAAAGGTCCATCATGCAAGTTTGAAACACTGCATCGTTAGATGCAGTAAAAAATTTTGCGTACAAAGTAAGTTTTTGTATACATCTCAAGATCTCCTCGATCTCATATTTTTTCTTGTACAACGATGCACAGCAATTGTTCTCTCTCTTACTCATTTGTTCACGTTTTGCCATTAAAGAATACGGTTTCAAGACTTCATTGTCCGTTTGACTACCTACGCGTATTACGGACGTCGTATGTGGAAGGATACTTTCGAGAATCTGGTCCAAAGCCGGATCTGTAGCGCAAATGATCACGATTGGGCCGTGTTTGCTCCAACTTTTTTCGTTGTCCAATAAAATGTGTACTATTTTCGATGCTAATAGTGTTTTTCCAGTGCCAGGTGGTCCCTCGATCACTGCAAATTCACGAGTCACTGCGTGTTTTAGAGCATCCAATTGCGACTCATCCAACTGTTGGTCTTTGGTGATTTGTTGCAGTTTGTCAAGTCCTTCTGGTAAAATGTAGTTATTCTGAAATTTTAAAAGAGCTGCGCTCTGCAAGTAACGCGGTAATGCCGTGCAAACGCAACATTGAATGATATACTGGGTCATTGGAAAATTTGAATCTTTCATGCCTTTCAAGGCACTCAGTGTTTCATAGTACGATTCAAAGTGCTTGGTGGTTTCCAACAGGGTATACCTGAGCCCATATGCATCTGACTTGAGATCTGCCCTGGAAAACGGCTCAACAAATACATATCCTTTTCTCAAGTACGTCGGATGGCAATGAATAACAGTAGCTAAATGTATTGTCTTGAAATTATCCCTCGTCAGAATGACTAATTTTCCCAACAAGGATGGCTTCAAGTATTGCCGACTTTCATTATCTTCGAAGAACAATTTTATACCAAAACAATCGTCATTCACTTCGAAGCATTCGATTTTGACGTTTTTGTAAATACGCGTGCTCGACTGCTGATTCGAGTGCTTCAAGTTGAGGTGCTTGTCAACAGCTTCGCTCAAACGTTTTGTGAAACCCTCTCTGATCGACAAAAATTGCGAATTCAAATAATTTTCCGTCGAATCGTAAGCTCCACGAGAATCCCAGTAGTTTGACCTCTTGTTCAGCAAATCTTGTACCGTAGGTACGATGCTCATTGATCTGAAGTGATTACTTTTCGACGCCATTTCCTGTACCCTTTCACACAAAGCTGATTTCTTTGTACACGCTCACGTACAATCAGTGTTTCCTGAAACAATTATAGCGTTAGCCAGGATATTTTTCTTTACTTAACTCTTAGACAATTGTTTTCCCTGATGTGGCAACAATCAAATTACTTCATACCGTAATTACGGAATGTAAAATTCTCTTGAGAATATATACTTCCAGGCAATTAACACGTGAGAAAAAACTGAGTAGGTCCATGTATTGTCTTCCCAGCCTCTGTATCTGTCTGCCACTTATCTCTGACTTTACTTACCCGATCGGAAAGCTTAACGGGGGTTCTAGCTTGTGCCTATCGTGCACAATTTTGAAGCAGCGCCATCCTAGGGGAAAACGAGAACTATTGGTCTGGCACAGCAGAAGGCAATATTCGCGGTATCAGGTATGTGCTTGATACCTATTCGCTCCGAGCCGATACAGAGGTTGCGCCCTCTCTAGCCAAAATCAGGCAAAATTTCTTGCATGTAAACAAACGGTNACTACGGTATTTTATTTAGTAAGTCTCGGGCGAAGCCGAGACGGGGGGCTGCTAGTAATACATATTTATATGTCAATGATACTTTTTTGAATCCATTGATGTTTGATACGAAGGTATGATGACGACGTCAGAATTTGTCACGAATATATTGTTAGATTTAAAAAATTTCCTGCTAGACAATATTTTTTATTTTCAATTCATCTTCAGAATCATTTTGAATAAAAATATTCTTCGGAATTGTGCATCCGGATAAAGCTACATATAATTGGGCATAGCAAAATGAAGGTTTTTCAAAATATAATCCTACAGAATCGAAACTTTGGCCCAGTGATTTATTTATTGTCATAGAAAAAGCCAAAATCAATGGAAATTGTTTTCTATGTAAAATAAAGGGTAAACAAGAATTATCCCTAGTATTTAGAGTGATTCTAGGTATAAATACTATTTGCCCCTTGTTTTCACCTGTAATGATTTCAGTTTCAATGTTATACTTAAATAATTTTGTTATGCGTAAATGAGTTCCATTACATAATCCGTCTACTTAAATTTCTTATCAACAGTTCTACTGAATTTATTTTTAATTTTAGCTCATGAGGTGGTAAGCCTTGATAAATTGCATTTAAAACTTCTACTTGAAAATTTAACGTTGTTTTCGTCAGATTCATATATCTCTTCCTTTTGCTGTTGCATATTCAATACTGTCGCAAGGATGGCCCAACTAAATTTAGTTAGGTACTAAAAAAAGTTGTACGCCAACGCCACTCTCACCAACACTCATACAATTACTAAAACCATCGCAGACAATATTGATACCACGATTGTAAATGCTAAAAGAAGGAAGAATCCCAAGACAGTTAAACAAATCACAAATGACTCTCAAAAATGTATAGATAACAATTAATCGTCGCTTTTCTATTGTATTGTTGGGTATGAGTATGAGGTGCTGATATCGTGTAATGTCAATAAGTTGTAAAATGAATGCTTATATTGTTTAATGGATGACCAGTAATATAAATAAATTTTCTTGTAAACTAATTAATACATTTTTTTATGTTATAAGCTTATTCGGCTTAGTTGACAGCGAGTACTTGGACCAAACATTGTCGTTCTTCTTGATTAAGTGGGCTATCTGATATATTACACAAATCTCACAATGTTTCACTATTATGCTAAGCCCCTTCCTAAATTACAGTATGGCGGACGTTAAGATGCAGTCCTGATTGGCTGCCTCATGTTTAAGCCATTTCACTGTATATNTATAGCTGCTTGTGATTGGCTGAATAAGACAGCAGGAGAGGATCGTCGTTCTCTCTCTAGCTTGCCAAGTGCCAATCACAAGCAGCTGTACGTATGTATATATGTTCTAAACCGTTTGTTTACGTGCAAGAAATGTTGCCTGATTTTGGCTAGAGGGGGCGCAACCTCTGCATCGGCTCGGAGCGAATAGGCCAATTAATCTACGAAAAAGATGACATTAGTGTTATCAGAAAACAAAAAATACGTTGATATAGAAGAAAATGATTCAAGAAACATAGCGTTTTATTTTTTCGGTTATTCAGTGGCTGAGTTAACCTAAAAAATTCGTGAAAGTCCAAAAATCACTTTTTTCGCGTTTGAAAAAAAAGTTGACCTCCAATGCCGAAAAGTTAAATGACAAAGTTGTAGATCTTAAAAAAACCTATCGATTGACGTGCGTTGAATATAATTTGAATGCGTAGTTGCTGAGAAAACTTGAAAAAACCATCGAAAATCGTCTTTTTTTAATTTGTTAATAACTTTTTTTCTTTTAAGATTTTAAAGTTGGTATTTAGTCAAATTATGAGTTTTTGGTTCACAAACCTTCAGTTGTTTTTTTAGCCAAAAATATTAAAAATTTTTCGAAATATCGCATTTTTTCGAAAAAAAACACCGTTCGTAAAAATTTCAATAGACATCAGGAAATAATGCTGGAGCGATTTTACAGGGCTTAATCTCTTCGTCTAGACTTATTCTATCATGCGATGTTTGTAGTAAGTAAAATTTTTTAATTTTTGATGCCGAAATCGGACTCCGAAAAAAGTACTTTTTTTTTCTATCGGTTTTTTGCATTTTTTTTACGTATTTTGATAATTGCACGTATATAACTAACTGCAATGCATTTGTACTTATTTTTTTACGAATTAAAAAAAAAAAATTTTCATGATACGACCATGTGGAGCCAAGTTAGGTTTTTTTTAAAAAAAAAATCCCTATGCGACGGTGAAAAGCGTATAACTCTGAAACTTGCACAATTTACTAAAAAATACCCATTTTGCATTAAAAAAATTATTCGCAATCGTTAACTTTAGTGGAACGATGGGTATGATAACGTTACAGTTGAGTATTTTTTCGCGTCGCGCATCGACTGCCTGCTGGTATGAGGTGTGTCTGGCTGGTTGCTCTTACTCGGGCGCTCCGATACGGCTCCGAAATGGAGTCGGTGGTGAGCAGAATAACATGACTGTAAAAGGAATAGTTGAAGTTTATGTGCAGTACGTAACTAAACATTATCGAAATGCGACAGTTGTGTTTGACGGTTACCCGGACGACATGTCAATTTCTTTAAAAACATTGGAACGACAACGCCGAGAAAGAAAAAATGTTGGACGTGACATAAATTTTGATTTGTGCACGCGCATTGCAGTCCCTCAAGACAAGTTTTTATCGAATTTTAAAAATAAAAAACAGTTGATCGATTTCTTGACGGTCAGTCTCACGCAAGCAGGATGCACTTGTAAAATAGCAGATGAAGATGCCGATTCGCTCATTGTTGATTCTTCAATCCAATTAGCTGCAAGTAGACATAATTTAATCTTAGTTGGTCAAGATATTGATTTATTGGTGCTCCTTACTCAAAAATCGCCTGTTGAAAAAACTATATACTTTCTAAAAAAGAGCCAAGGCAATAAGCCTGATTGCTGGTATACAAATTATAGTCTAATTTACCCAAGATTGCGAAATTATGTAGCTTTTTAACACGTCATAACGGGTTGTGATACTGTATCGTGTCTCTACAGAAAAGGAAAAAACAAATTAATAAAAATATTTAACGATACACCTAAGCATTGCCAGCTGATGGATGTGTTTTATCGCACTGATGCTGACAAGGACAAAATTTGCTCTAATGGATGTAAAATAATTGCCTTGCTATACGATAAACGAACAAATGTATCATTGAATGACCTTCGCTACCAACAATTCAGCAAGTGCACCGCTCGTAATACGTTTCAGTTGCTCAGTATACCGCCCACCGAAGGTGCAGCAAAACAGCATGTATTTCGAGTTTACCTGCAACTACAAAAGTGGTTGGGAAATGACATTGAACCAACCCTTTGGGGATGGAAGTTATCGAACAACGTAATTCTACCCTACTATACCGACGAAGCCCTAGTACCGGATGAAATATTAAAAATAATTGCATGTGGGTGCGAAGGTTCTTGCAAAACAAAAATTTGTAGTTGTTTCAAGCACGGTCTGAAGTGTTCCAATATATGTGCTCATTGCCAGGACTCGCAGTGCACAAATTTTGAAGAAGTAGATCATGCTATCTCACATGAGTAGTCTTTCGTGGAGAATACGGATATTGGTGATGTAAGTATTGGACAATTTCCAATTAATAAAGACATGTTTTGCAATTTGCAAATACCGGCTTTTAATGATCCACTACTGAAATGTACCATGGATCATGAAGAAAACGAGGATGTGCTTGATGACATTACTGAGCAACCCTATAAGAAGGTGCGAACATATAATATGAATTAGTTTTACTTTTTTTAAAAGAATTTGTATTATTGAATAAAAAAAAAGAATTAAAATATATTTGTTTTTTTCGTTAACCCATTACTTATTTTTAATGAACCTGTGATAACATCTACAAATAAAGTCAGGTAACCATAATAAAGGTAATATTTACAAGACTTGACGTCCCCAAGCAGCGTTGTCCGAGCGCCCGAGTAAGAGCAACCAGCCAGACACACCTCATA